GGGCGGGGGCCCTCAGCGCCTCCGTGGGGCGGGGCGAGCAGGGGAAGGGGGTCTCGGACCCCAAGAGGCGATGGGGGAGGCGGCTGGACCCTCACCCCCCCCGTGCACGCTGCGTCTCCGCCCCCCTCCATAGGGGGCCTGGGAAGAGGAGGGGGAGCAGGAGCAGAGGTGGGGCCGGAGCCACCCCCAACCCATTTGCTCAAGGGGGAAGGTCCCCAGAAGGAAGGCTGGGCCTTGGGCCTCTGGGGGGAGCCCTGCCCCACCTGGGCGCCTGGAGGGGGGCGTGATGCCTTCAGAGTCGCTGGCAGTCGGGCGGCAGGTGATGGTGATGATGAAGAAGCAGAGCCAGGGGCTTTCACGTTGCCCGTCTCCCCCGACCCTCCACTCCAGTGTTTCTCATGCTGGCTGGGGAATTCTGGGAGTCGAAGTCCACACGTCTTAAAGTTCCCGAGGTTGAGAAACACTGATGTAGAGGTTTCATTCCGATGAATGTTTTCGGCACTTAGTCCGGCTAATTGGTTAGCTCTTTGCTCAGTGCCGTGTGCGAGTTCAGAACATGGGTTAATTCAGTGCCCAGACCGTGCTCAGCGACGGTACAAGAAGAGAAGCAGCATGCCGGCGTCTTAATGCTGCCAGCAGAGGACAAAGAAACTGCCTTTTCTCCGAAGAGCAGAAAATATACATTTGGAGGCTCTGCTCTTCTGCGAGGAGGAAGTCTTAAGAAAGGAAATCACGTTGGTTTTGTCACCTTTCTGCTCTCCCCAGGCTACTATGTTGGCATGTGCTTCGCAGCGCCAGAGAAGCAGCTGTGCAGTTTTTACGAGGCCCCCGACGCCTGGAAAAGCTTCTTTGCCACGGCTGTTCTTGCCCTGACGGTCGCAGGGATATTCGCCTATTACTGGGCCCGGAACGGCTGGAGTAACCACCCCCTGGTCAAGACGCTCTCCACCTACGCTCTCCCGCACTCAGGGTGGAGGGCCGTCGCTTCCTCCATCAATACGGAATTCAGGAGGATTGACAAGTTTGCGACGGGGGCCCCCGGAGCCCGAGTCATTGTCACTGACACCTGGATCCTCAAAGTGACCACCTATTCTTTGCACGTTGCCCAGCAGCGGGACATCCACCTGACAGTGGTAGATTGCAAACAGCACGACCTGTTGCCGGATTCCAACATGCCTGTGCAGTTCCTCACCATCCGCGTGGCCAGCGTGAACCCCAGCGTGAAGCCGTTCGATATCCGGTAACATTTCTTAGGAATCGGGGGCGTCCCCTAAGTCCAGCAGAAGAAGGTCTCAGAATTGCGTTCCCTGATGCCAGCCGAGGCAGAGCTGAACGATACAGCCAAAACGCTTCGGTGGTGTCTTTAACGTAACTATTTTGACCGAACTGCCTTTCCAGTTGGGAAGATGCCAGTTGCAAAAATAGCAAGGTTTCATACCCAGAACATTCCAGTCCTGGCTGGTGGAACAGTCGGTCTGCCTATGTGCCTGGCATGCTCTTTAACTGGAGTGGGCAGGGAACAAGCCCCACGGCATGAGACGCTGATACCTTTAAAGCAGCGTTTCTCCAATCTGACACCCTCCGGATGTGTTCAGATTGCAGACTCCCAGAATTCCTCACCAGCACAGACAGAGGCCTCCAAAGCCTACTCCACCTGCAGCATTGCTGCCTGGGTAGAAAATTCCAGGAATTGGGGTTCTAATGTATCTGGAGGGCAGTAGATGTCTGCCTTAAATAAACCTTTTGGCTTGACCCCGTTTGCCCTTGGATCAGTTTTGGATGAAATGTTTAGGAGGCCGGACCTGGATTCTTAATCCTGCTTATTCTCCACAGAGGTCTCTAGTCACCCATATTTTCCTTTGAAGGTGGTATCATTTGCAGAAAGCTTTGTTTCTTGCTGAGCATCAAACGTATGTCAGCCTTTGTCCAATGGGGACGCTCTCCACATCTGTTTTGGCTCGCTGGGGAATTCTGGGAAGTGAAATCTACACATCTGGAAGGAGCCCAGGCTGACGAAGGCTGATGCATCTTTTCTCTGTATTAAAAACGTAAACCAGACCATGTTGTTTTTCTGTAGGTCTCACATTTAGAGTAGAAAGCCCTTGTTTTTTCACGTTTTATCCAAGTCTGATACAACCTTCATTTTCCTTAAGGCTGAACTCATCTGAATATGGGGAGTTACAAGAAAAGCTCCATGCCCCAATCCGTAATGCTGCAAATGTGGTCATCCATCAGAGCCTGAGCGACATGTTTCTGGAAACCTTTACCTCTCTGGTGGAGATGAATCAGACCTACACTGTTCCAAGCAACCAGGTGAGAGCTTCTTGAGCTGTGGAGATTATTTGTTTTTTAAATCTTGCCTCTTTGCCTGCCTGCACGGAAACTTAATTTGTTAGATTTATATCCCACTTACTTTGTACAAGCAAAGGCAATGTCATGATGCTCCCTTCTACTGTTTTCCCTACCACAACAACCCTGTGAGGTGGGTTGGGCCGAGAGAGAGGGACTGGCCCAAAGTCGCGCAGCTGGCTTTCCTGCCTGAGGGAGGCCTCGAACGCACTGCCTCCCGGTTCCCAGTCCAACACCTTCACCGCTACATCAGACGGGCTCTCTAGAGATGATATGACCAGTGTATGTGCAATAAGACATCCTTTCCCAGCCTTGCAGGGCTGGGATGGGAACAAAATTTTCAGAATTCCCTCCTTGTGCCTGAAGGGAACTCAATTCAATTTTGAGTCAGCTTCATTCCTAAGGACTTAATGGACCCTTCTGTGTAGATTTACTGGCCATGTTCCATTCATTTCCCAGCTTCTGGGAATTTTTTTTCCCACTTTCCAATCCCACCTACAGCCCTGAAATCTCCTGGTGGTCTCCCATCCAACTGTCAACCAGGCTGAAGTCTTTGAGCTTGTTGTCTGTCCGTGAGGTGCTGGCAGAGAAGAGGGTCAAGACTGACTCAGCGCTGCCATCTAGCAGAGAGCGCGGATTCCCTTGAGTCGAGCCCGACGCGCCCCTGTAGCTTCCTTGCCACCAGGGTCGAAGGGGCTTGCCACCGGGCCTTGCCTTTTTCTGGGTGTTTTTCCAACTTCCCCAGCTGCCCCGTAGCTCTTGGGTCTCCTCCTGTCCTCCCATCGAAGCCCAGGCCCGGCCTGGTCCCCCCCTTGCCTTTCCTGGTCGGCGGAGCCACCCACCGGATCAGTACCCAGAGACCCCTTTCTCCCTCTTGCTCTGCAGGAGCTGGACCTCTGCATCGGGTGCATGCAAACCCGGGCCAGCGTCAAGCTGCTGAAGAACTGCCAGGAGCCCCACGAAGGCGAGTGCCAGCCGTGCTTCTGTCGCCCGATGTGGTGCTTGCTTTGCGTGGGCAAGTGGTTTGCCAGCCAGCAGGACCAGCAGCATCCAGAGACGTGGCTCTCTAGCCACGTGCCTTGCCCAACCTGCCGAGCCAAATTCTGCATCTTGGATGTCTGCATGGTGCAGTGAAGGGAGCTGGAGAGAAACGAGGGGAGGAGAGAAATGGGCCGTCGGCTGGGGGGGTCTTGTTTTTGGTTCCCGGGGGCTTCTTTGCCAAGTTATCCTATAGTTCCCCCTCTTGCTTTTTTCCCCCCCTTGTTTGAACTCCCTTTAATGGCTATAATAGAACAGTTGGGAGTGTTTCTACCGACTTGAAGCAGCACTTTGGGGATTCCACTCAGTTCTACTAAGTCTTGAGTAACGTTCCAGAATTCTGGCTTTAGAACGCCGATTACAGGCGAGTATTCCTTAAAGTGAAAATGGCTAATTTCTCTTGATCAAGGGGTTTGCTGTTTAAGGGTACCGTTCTGTATTGCCTCCTAAATCAGTACTGAGTTTGGTGGGTTTTCTGTGCTCTGCCTTAGTATGAAATTCAACTTCCGTTTTTCCAAACTTTCTTATACTGTAAATAGGAATTACACTTACAGAGACTTTGAAGTTTCTTTCCTCATCAGTCAGATGCTCATATACTCCTTGGCTTGGATTCAGACTAAGTCTGCAATCCTGTAGTAATGGAACGAAAGACTGATCTCACTGGGGCTTATTCCGTATAGAGAGGTATAGGATTGTAATCTAAATTATTGCAGTGCTGTAGAAGGATTTTCTCTGCTCAAGAATACGGATTTAACAACCAGGGACTCGTGTGATTAAAAATCACTTTTTTGACCTTAAAATACAGTCATGAGAAAATAACCTGGCATTAGGAGAATTTCTATACCAAAATTAACAATTTGGGAACATACCCCATTATGTTTCTGAAGTAGGCTGAATGTTGGGCAAAAAAGAGAATGCGATCTTTGGCAGGTCTTCAGGTTTTTCTGATTACTTCCTAACTCGTGTTCACCGAGTGTATCACTACTTCAGGATCCTTTGCAAAAGGAAACGGGAGAGAAAGGCGTTAATAAATAAATAAATAAATATTAGTCAACAACTGAGCATTTGTAAGGGAGGAGATTAATTTAAGCTCCTGTTGATTTTTAAAATGAACATATGGTCAAGCTCGCCCCTTTAATCTGTTTCTGTTTATTTCTTACCGTTTGTCCAGACCCTCAAGGCACACGCACACCCCTGCCCAGAACTCCAGTTATTCTGCCTACAACAGCAACCCTGTGAGGTAGGCTGGCCTGAAAGATGGTCCACAGTGAGCATCGGTGGCTGAAGGCAGACTTGAGGTCCCCCCCAGTATATCAAGCAAAGTAAAACATTAAATCCTTCAATGCCCCCTTGCTCAACGTGCCAGCACACCCCTGCCCCCCGCTAAGCTCAGGGTATTGTTCTGGTCTGGTAACGAAGGAGTTCTTCCCCCACCTTCCCCTATCTTTGAATGTATGTCTTTATTTTTTCTAACGGAAATCTTTAAGACTTAAATCTCCATTCATTTCATTCATCAGAGCCAAAAATGTCATGATGGTGATGCTTGTGATTGAAGCTTTGCCCCTTTTCAGTGCGGACCAGCACCGAGAAGAAAGGGGCTGGGTTTTGAAAGCGCAGCTGCCCCCTTGACATTTTTTGACCCCTTCCTGTGCATCACCCCCCTCCCCCCCGGGATAGCATGAACTTTTTCAAGTTTACTCAGAAGTAAGACTTGTTGAAAGTAATGAAGTTTATCCCTCAGCGTGTATAGGTTTACAGCCTCAGTCCGGATCCATCCTGCACGCGTAAAACGTTGAGCCTGCTTTTAATAGCAGGATTGTTTGGCAGAGAAACATCAGAAGGTTTTGTCGGCCCGTTTGTATTCGGGGGCCCTTTCCTTGCCCACCGCCTCATTCGCAAAACGGGACTGATCTTTTCCAACATTCTCACCAGCCAGAGTATTTTGATACGTTAGCCAAGTCAGATGATTATGACTTATCAGCTCACTTTTTCCAAATCCATTTGGGCAGCAGGCTTAACCTGTCGAATTAATCGGTTTTCTGGATTTGCACAACGAAGCCACACCAAAAAACTAACCAAAGCGAAAACCACCCACCCATAGTATTTGTAAATGCAGTGGGTATGTTTCTGAGTGACCAAGTTAAAACATTGTACAAATGCACCTTATCTTTTGCACTTGGGTTTCCCAACTTTGCAAACAACTTCAAATCCCAGAATTCCCCAGTCAGTACAGCCGCTGCTGAGAATTCTGGGTGAGTCTAGAGGTGGGAAACACGGTGGGAAATCCTTAACCGGTTCCTTTTTCAACTGCCCTTAGATCTTTGGGTGGTGTGCTCAGGAGCTTAGTACAAAAGGCAGTTGGGGCTAGGAGAAGCATTTAATTGAAATAGTGAAATATAGGTAATACGATTAGTGCTCCATATTTAGTGATTTCCCTCCTTCCCTGAGATTAAAAATTCCAGTTGAGAAATATCTGGAAGGCATTATCCAGTATTATATTCACTACCAAAAGGGCCGGTACTAGTAATCCTTTACTTACGTTCCTACACATAATCTGCTAAATAAAATTTGCCATTCTCATGAGCCCAACAATGGTATCTGTTATTTCATTCATCTGGATTTTAACATTATTTAAATATTGTATTATTGCTGTTCTCTTTGATTTCAAATCAGTTTATATATGAAGTCTCGTTTCTTTTCCACTTGCTTTTGAAACGGTGCTTGTCATGGCTGATTTATTGACCACCCATAAATCTAGAAGAATTATTTTAAATTTCTAGCTGTTCTGGGCTTTCGACTCATTTTCGCAAGGTATGAATCACTTATCATTTAAGTGATTTGAATAATCACTTATGATATCATTTATTCATAAGGCATAACCAACTATTGGTAAATTCACTGGATGGGACATAGTGCACTAACCACGAGCAAGGGAACTATACAAAGCTCAGGTAGGAAACTTTCCATTCCCAGAATTCCCCAGCCAGTATGGCCTTGGCAGAGATTTATGGGAGTTGAAGTGCACACATTAGTTATGGGAGAAGGGCACCTGTCGTTCTGGTTACAAAAGAGAAAGCAAAGATTGAGAATGAATGAATGTATGGGCAATTTTCTCAGTGGAAGAACATAAGAAGCAGAGTCCTTCAAGGATTGGTGCTAAGTCAGATGCTCTCTAACTTGTTCATAAGCGATCCTCACTTGAGGGTTAGTAGTGACCCGGCCAACTTTGCGGATGATGCTAAACTGAGGCGGCTAAAAACTCAGCATGACTGTGAAGAGCTTCAGAAGGATCTCCATAAATTGGGTGGTCCACCAAGTGGCAAATATTGTTCAGTTTAAATGAATACAAAGTGATGCACGTTGGAACAAACTTCACACGTATACCACAGGGCTCTAAGCTGTCTGGAGCTACTCAGGAAAGAGACCTTGACGTCACAGTGGAGAGCTCAGTGAGACTCTTCAACACGTGCCAACTGTGCAAAAGGCAAATTCCATTTTGGGAAAGAATAAGTAAAACTACCAACACCGCAGTGCCCTTCAATAAATGTAGGATATGTCTGCCTCTGGATTACTGTGTATAAGACTCATCAGATGCAACGGAAAGGTGTAACAGACCTGAAGAAAGAGCCACAGATGGCAAGGCGATAATTCCCTACAAGAAAAAGCTAGAATGTTTGGGGCTCTTGCTTGGGAAAAAGGCAACAGAGAGGAGACATGATCAAGATGCATAAAAATCATGGATGGGCTGGAGAAAGCGGGCAGGGTGAAGTTGTCTCTGCTTCTCTGAAATTGCTAGGACAGAGTCATCTGATGAAGCTGAGCAGAAGGGGGCTGAAACAGACCAGAGAAGGTCCTTTGCCAAGCTCACGACGAGTCTGTAGAATTAATTACTACAAGAGACAGACAAGGGTTTGGATAAATTCATGGTCCAGGAAGGGCTATTGATCTTGCAGGCTCCACATGACCAGGTTGGTGCCACCATGTCTTGGAATTCAAGCTGGAGAGGAAAAGCAGTGGGAAAGGATAGGGCTCCCTCCCTCAGAGATGTTGGGACCACTTTTGTGAGAAGCCAAATGCTGGACTGAGATGGCCTGATCCAACAGGCCTCTCAGATTCTTATCTGGAGACTGTCAAGATTAGGGAAGACTGGCTGTGAGTGAGCAATGCGAGCTTTGCATGGAAAAGGTCCTGGAGATGCCACCACAGTCTAGAAGAAAAGGCATGTTTTCGTTGCTGTGTCTTAAGATGCAAATTCTGTTACACCAATCCCACCCAGAGCGGATCTGACCGACCATGGCATGTCTCTTCTGCCCTCTTTCGTGGTGAGCTGCCTGTGCCCAGATTATACCACTTCAGACTGGAAGGGGAGGCCGTTACAAGTAAGTGACACGCGTGTGCGAGATGAAAAGGAGTTCCAGATGTTGGTTGAGGCTAGATCAACCAAATCATGGTCCTAAGCGCTCAACGTCACAAGTGGTTTGTCTGCCGAAGCATAATGTGATGGTGTAACTCCTCCACAGTGCGTCATAAACCAAATTATGATTTAGTCTGCTCTGTGAACTCAACCAATTGTGGCTTATTCCACAATCATAGTTAGCCAAACTAGGGCTTGACCCTAGGCTTCTTCTCTTGCATGGATGATTTCTATGCCGACCGCAGGATGGGATGGAATAATGGCGCTGCTCAAGTGAGGCCTCTTAAGAATAAGCTTCCTTTATTGGGTTTGCTCTCCAAAATAGCCTCACGTCTTTGTGACATTCCTCGAACTTTGCAGGCAGCTCCTGCGTTTTGAGCCGCAGGCCGCCGAAATAAAGGGAAGACGGGCAAGGTTAGGTTTGTGTCCAAGGCATAAGTTAAACACGTTGCGGTGGGCGAAGAAAATGCAGGAGGAATATTTTATATTGTGGCTCCGGGATTGCATCTAGCCTGTTAATGTTGGGAAGCTTTGCTCTGATCAAGGGAGAGCAGCTACTAGAGATGCACAGCTTCCTTACGCCGTGTAATAATTCCTATTTTATAATGGAAGCCAAGTCTTCAGAACTGATACAGACATTATCAAGATCCACTAATTTAAAAATGTTTATTGCTGAGAAATATCTTAAAATCTTGGCTATTTTACAAACTGAACAAAATGTTCATTGTTATGAATACATCATTATTCTCCCTCCCAAAGAAATATACTGAATACATCTGTTCTTATTTGAACATTTACATCTACATAATAATCTATATCATTATCCCAACTGCAATAGTTCCTGCAACAAGAGATGTTAATAGATTTTTGTCCCAACTATCATTTTAGGTTTTTTTGTTACTATCACATCAATTATTACATACATTGTTTGACTACTTATATTAGCCCTCTAACCGTTACCTTAAAATCCCATTCTCCTTTAAAAGAAGATTTAGGGTTTTGTGGGGTTTTTTTGCATCAATCAGTTTAACTTTTGCAAAGGTTTCCACGTCCCTCCAAATGGGCTACCTGGTTCCGTTTCACTCTTGCACAGCTAGTGTCCATCAGGGTGTTCACGGAATACTTGCACATCGTGTTTTACTGCATGCTACGAAAAGTTCCTGTTTTTTCCCTACCATACAGGATCGATGGTTTACTGTTAAGTACCGGTAACCCACCAGATGAAATTGGCCTTCAACACCGGGCGACACGTGCGCGTGTGCGCTCACAAAGAATCTGGTCCGCCTGCAATTTTAAAAGTCAGCAGCAATATTTGCTTGGTTGCTAAATGAAGACCTGAGATTATCACTCACGCGTCGAAGATTTCTTCTCGTGGCTGAGAATAAATGCAACCTGTCGTAGCTGGTATCTCTTTTACGTTTAGGGCTGGGCACTTGTGTGATACCTACTTTATCTATGAGCTCGGTTTAAATACTCCAAATCCTCTTCCAGCTTTTAAATCCGTCTGTACCCATCCTGGGGCTCCCTCCTGGCCTCCAAAGGCTCGACTTCAGCTCCAAAAGTCAACACAGCAGCAAGTGGGGAAGGGGAGGCTGCGGGACGAGGTCTTAAAGCTTGTATTTTTTTTTACAGTAGACTTTAATTCTTTAATTTAAAAAGAAGAGACCAACATGGAGACCTGCAGCGGGGTGGAGAGCTTTCATTGTCCACGAAGGGGAACTTCAGATCTGTTAGGAAAAGTTCAGGAGACGTTTGGGTAGAAATGAAAACCTTTCGGTCTCAGCCCGTCCCGCGGATCTTTAAAAACCTATGCTAGCCCTGCTTCCGTTGATCAGTCACACAAGATGAGCCAACAGCACAACAGATGATGGTTTCTAGTTGAGGGTTTCTCAACCTTGGCAACTTTAAGACGGGGGGACTTCAACTCCCAGAATTCCCCAGCCAGCATATGTCAGCATATGCTGGCTGGGGAAT